GAGGCTGGTGTTTCTCAAGGCGTTGTCTTTTCGCCTTTTCTGTTTCCTTTCTTCTTGTTTGACTTGACTCACTCTGATGACGGAGTGGACTTTGTTAAGTATGCCGACGATCTAACTATTTCCATGTCTGTTATCTCCCAGCTACACTGTTTGTACTAAGATGAACAGCCTTCTATCAGGAGTAAGCAAATGGTCTTTGCCTAATGGTTGGTCTTAAACTAAATCCTTCCAAATGTCAGACAGCTAATTTCAGTTTCCGATGTAAATGAAAGTTAATTGAAGCTGTTAATTTCTAAGACCTTTGCGAAATTGATGATATTGATACAGAAATCAAGTCTGAAGTAAAGCTTCTTGGAATAATTATTTCTTCTGACCAATCCTGGTCTTCCCATGTCTTAGCGATTTCTAAAAGATTATGTCGTCTGACTTTTCACATTAGGAATTTAAGGCACTCAGGCATAACTCAACTTCTCCTCTCACAGTTTGTCAACTCGTGCATCTTACCTATTCTTCTTTACTGCTAACCCTTATTCCTTCCCGGATTGCCTAAATAGACTATGTCATAATTCTTAGGACTCTGAAGACTGTCAGTAGGGTGAGTGGCATCTCATTGGGCCATATCGTCGAAATTGTCATTGATAGGCACTTGAGTTCACGCGACAATTAGGCTAAAAGTATTTTGTCAGACTGTCAGCATCCACAGCAGCACCCACAGCTCCAAACTTGTGTCTCCTCAGGTAAAACAAGAAGTCTTTTCAAACGACTTTGTACAGGTACGACCTTGGCGGCCTGTTTGAATTTTTGGGCCTGCTATCATAAAATCTACATATTGCATCCAACCTACCATTTACTCCATTTATTTATCACCCAAATATGAATTCCAAAAGGATTATTTACTCTCGCAACTTTATCATTCATTTACGACCCAATGACTTTCATATTCCCAAGAAATCAAGGAGGAAGCATCGTAGTGGCTGGCAAAGAGCTCTTAAACGTACACCAATACACTTAACCACGGTCCCTGTCATAATGAACACCAACTGCCGCTCTCTGCCTAACAAAATAATGTACCTACAATCCTTGATGTCCACTGACACTTATCACAATACTGCGATAATCACATTACAAGAAACATGGTTACACGAACTGTACGATGACAATCTCATCTCTCTAAAGGACTTCATCCTATTTAGACAAGACCGAATATGTTGTAATAAGAAAAGTGAGGGTGGAGTTGCAACTTTCATTAACTCAAAATGGTCTATTTCTAATAATGTTTGCTTCTCATTCTCAAATGACTTCATAGACTGCATCACCGTCAAATGTCGTCCCAAACATCTCCCCAAATATAAACACATCTTTATCACAAACATGTACATTTCTCCAAGTTGCTCACTATCTAATCTTTCAAATTTTGCTGATGAATTCACCATGTTTTCTGCTGCCAACTTTAACAACTCTCTATCTGTTATTACTGGGGACTTCAACTCGTCAGATTGCTCCTTCCTTGAAGCACTTGGTCACTCTAACATTGTCAAATTTCCCACTCGACTAGACAAAACACTGGATTTAGTTTTTACAAATGACGAAGGAATCTATGAAGCACGTAAACGTGCACCGATCCTCAACTCTGATCACTCTATTGTTCGTGTTCTACCAAAAATTTACAGCAAAACACATATTAAAGTCTTCTCGCATCTGTCTATGAAAGCACAACAAAGATGCTACTCATCCGAAAACTTACTCAATCTAAGGTGCATGTTAAAAAACACTAACTGGGATTTATTCCATGAAAGTTCATTAGATGACACAATCGTCAATATAACGGATTATCTCAAGTTTTGCCTTGATATATGCTGTCCCAAACAAACTCTATTCAAATGTCTCGACCGCTTCTCATCTCCTTATCTCAAACAACTTCGCAGGAAAAAAGAAACTTTGTACAAATCCAAAGACAAGTTAGGACTCAAAAAGATTAATGCTCAGATCAAATCTGAAATCAAAAATCTTAATGCTATCTATAATGATACACTTTTATCATGTAAATCTCCAATCAGTATGTGGAAACTTTTTAATGAAATTACTGGTAATAGTAAGCGTTGTAATACTTTTCCCTCTTATGATGTTAATGCTCTTAATCAGTCTTTTATACGCTGTCCTTCTACTTTAACTACTTCTAATGTTACCTATCATGTAGCTGAAAACTTTCATGACTTTAATACTCTCGATGTTCTAAAATGTCTTAAAACACTCAAGCCCTCACGTAGCCTAGGTCCTGATGGTATACCTGCCTATGTTCTAAAACAATGTGCAGATGTGTTGTGTTCTCCACTAACCAACATCCTAAATGCCTCTTTCTCCAAAACTATCGTACCTGATGCATGGAAAGACATCAAAATTGTCCCTGTCCCTAAACCTGGAAACGGCAAGAACGTAAAGTTCAGACCCATTGCCATCACTTCCCCGTTCCTAAAGCTTATGGAAAAACTAATACTTCTTAAACTCGAACCCTCCCTTAAAAACTTCGAAGACCCAAAACAATTTGCCTATAGACAGGGTAGGAGTACATTAGACGCTGCAGCTGTCTTACACAACAACATCGTCTCATCATTAGATAAAGGTGCCAAATACGTCCGCTGCACGTTTCTTGACTTCACTTCTGCTTTCGACTCTGTTCCTAGATGTCTCCTGCTAAATAAGCTCTCTTTGACGAAAACTGAGTCATGGGTCACTAACTGGTTGCATTCCTACTTCTCTAACAGAATGCAGTACACCGTATACAAAGGTAAATCATCCTCTGCTGCACTCACTGAAGCCGGAGTCCCCCAAGGCGCTGTACTCTCCCCACCTCTCTTTTCTTTCTTTCTACACGACTTACCATCTTCAAATGACATTAATTTTGTCAAATACGCTGACGATTTGTCTGTATCTTTGCCTATCAAATGTCAAAGCGACTGCTCTAAACTCAATGGCTTTCTGTCAGAAATCAGCCAGTGGTCCAAGGAAAATGGTCTTACTCTAAACCCCTCCAAATGCCAAACAGTCAATTTCACCTTTAGGCATAAATCCGACCTAAACAAACTGTTTGGCTCTCACGAGGTATGCAACATAGACGGCACTGAAATAGAAACTAAATCGGAAATTAAATACCTAGGTGTCATTCTATCTGCTGATCTCTCCTGGTCGTCTCATATCTTAGCAATTTCTAAGAAAATAGTCCGTCTTACCTTCTACATTAAGAAGTTAAAACATTCTGGTATTACCCAACCCTTACTCCTACAATTCGTTAATTCTCGCATCCTGCCTATTATTCTCTATTGTTCCCCCTTAGTTTTTCCAGGGCTACTGAAGAAAGACTATAACATATTACGCAGGATGTTAAATGTTGTCAGCAGAGTAAGCAACGTGCCACTTAACCAGCTTGTTAATATTTTGGTTGACAGGCACATGGACTCATGTGAAAAATGGGCCAAATCCATTTTATCTAACTCACACCACCCTCTTCACTCACAACTCTCCCCTTGCATCTCATCAGGTAAAACAAAAAGCCAATATAGAAAACTATATGCTCGCACCAGCAAGTACAAAAACTCAACCATACCCTACTTAGCTCGTGTTCTGTGTGATAAAGAAAGCATTAGGTGTGACACCTATAATTCATTAAATAGTCACTAGTACAACTGGATCTCATCTTTCCAACCCACTTCATCAACAGGTACAACATTTCCTTTCTTTCTGTTCCTTTTCTCTCTCTTCTTTTTCCGTTATGTGCTGCTTTGTCTCTTTCTCTCGCTTACGCCAGTTAATAAGACAGCTCCCACTTTTCTAACATCTTCAAACACTGTTTCAGCTTTACCTTTGCTACTGAACATGCCAATGTATTGTTGTAATAATGAACTGTGGTTTCCTCAATCTATGTAGAATTCTATTTATTGATAATGCACTAACTGGATGCAATACTGTAGTAAAAATGCTGAGAATTCCATTCTGTATCACAAGTACTGTTTTGGAATAAAGCAAATTATTATTATTATTATTATTATTAGTAGTAGTAGTATAAAAATTCCGTTATACCATATTTCGCACGTAGTTTATATGAGAAAAATAGTGTTAGACATGAACTAACTAACCTTCTTTGCACTATTCAATGAAACATTTCCTCCTTCTTTACAACATCAACTTTTATTGTTATTTTACTTCTTATATTTATAATCCTTTAAATTTTGTGTTTCATTTGTTTATTTTTTCATAAGTGTGAACATCATTTAAGCTGTGTTATAACTGTTAATTGCGTATTTCCTCTCACCATACTGTATCAACAGCACATTAGATTCAATACTCTATAACATGCTTCAATTCCCAAACTGAATCGACAGTAGTGTTTGAAACAAACTCACTGTTTTTGTTATTATTATTACATTTATTATTCTCAATTCTAACTTCGAATATTTTTGACTTAATTTCGTCAATGTGGACAAATTCCTATGCCTAATTTTGTTGTAATTTTTAATTCTTTTTGTATTTTGAGTAAATCAGATACAATTCTGTGGCAAGTACTGAGGAATCTATTCTGTATTGTAAGTAGTGGTTTGGAATTAAGCAGATTATTATTATTACCCTGTGTTACATACATACAAAGAATCACATGAAAAATCACCACACAATACGATAATTGTGACAAAATTCATTTCATGTGGAGTGGAATCAATTTGTGAATGAGAATGGACTACGATCTCTCAATATGTGTAATTCTGTCGGTTATAATCAATGAAATCGAAATATTTATGTGAAAATACATGTGAATATTCTCAGAAGCAGCGAACCTAGAAACTAGTAGCTATAACCACTAAGTAGATTTCAGCGACATTTCACTTCTGAGTTGCTCACTTAAGGAGGAGTACTCATGTGGTGATTTTCATTCTGATTTCGATCATATCCAGTGTACTTTTCGTTACTCGATAAACGCATATCAAAAATGAATATTTTACTTCAGTAAATAATGAAATTAGTTATTTTGAAAAAAGACAGTTTGTGTTCTTATTACAGAAGACGAATATCAGTGTAAATGTCTGTGCAAGTAATAGCACACTTCATATGAGAAAGGTAAACTATGATTAACATTCTCTCTTGAAGAGGAACTAGAAATCACAAAAATCAAAATTAAAATGAAGATGCCCACAGAGTGACATCGTCCCATTCTACTGTCTGCCAATAAATATAAGCCGGAAGAAGAATTTCACAAACCAGACTGTTGTTTTGTTTCATTGAAGAAGAATGCCAAACTGCTTTCTGACAAGCCGAAAATGCAGATCGTACAAGACCAAATGATGAACGCTGTGGTAAATTCCACGGCATTGAAATCCACCAACCAACCGATCAAGTCGTGATTATTGACACAAGTGAACAAAAACTACAATGTAGAGAAAGAGAAAGATTATTGACAGAGATGAGTGAATACAGGTGATCATCTCAACTGTACAGCAATTCATATTTCACCGTATTTAATTAATTATAATAATCTAGCCAATGTGATAGGATTGTTTTCATATGATGAAATGTAGACACCTGAGTCAATAAAGAATTATTTACACATTCACTGTCGGCTTTCAGATCATACATGAGCAGATGTCTGCGTGTTGTCAATATTCTAGTGAGAATTCAGTTCAAACCTTAAAGAAGATTCCAGTTTAGGAATGACGGGTCTAGTGTGTAATTATTCATTTTATGATTTGCCAGTCTCACATGCACAGTGAGGTTGTTGAAAATCCCTAAATGTGAGTGCGTACGGCTGCTGAGGGACTATGAAATCATTGACAAATATCATTCAATCTAAATAATACAAGGTGCCTAATAATCCAGCCGTTTCCTACTTACACAAACACACAACCCGTCTGTGTATAAGACAATCACTTGGAGTGGGTTGTCGTATTATTAACGAGCCACATAAATTCGAATCGTGATTACTAAACTCTAGTGAAGAAACGGGAATTTACCATAATTTCAAGTGTAACAGTTTACAACATCATCTTCTCCAAAAATACACTATCGAAATCGAGGATACGTTGACTTGCCACCTGATGTAATATGAACACAAATCGACTAAGCGATACTGTGATTCACACTGCAATTCTGCGACTATCAAATAACTGATGTAATTCGTGCAATTTACTCGCCAAAATAAACATGGTTGATACAACGATAAAATGACAAACTTACGAAGAGTATGAATAATATCCAGAAAGCTACCGCCATAAAGAAAATTATCTGCGTGGAAAATATGAGGAGAAAGAAATAAATCATCAGGAGAGAGGTACACTCAAGCTTTGTTAATCTATGCAAATTACAACATTGACATATCTACTGATCTGAGATCTGTGGACACTGACTATTATCGAAACATTCTGACAGTTGAATCACACCTGTCAGTGACACTGGCAGCATGTGGTGAGGCTAAAATATGCGAATATATGTCATTCACTCAATATAAACAACTACTGCATCACTTCACATTTCTTATCTGGCAACAGAAATGTCATTATACACTAGGCCACTTCGACTACTGTCGCATCCCTGTTAGTCAAATATATATTCCGTGGAATGTGACAGTCACACCAGTGAATTGTTGCCAAACGAGCCAAATTCCATACATATATGTGATAAGGAAATTGAGTGTAGACGAGGTTAGGTGCTAATATGTCAAATTGCTTATCACTCTTCCAATCAAAATGTAGAATTCGAAGAGACAGCATGAACGACAAGTGTATCAGGATGAAATGATGCCATTCTTTATCATTTCACGCCTTACACTCAGCTGGCTGAAACCAGATCCATCCAAAAATATGGAGTACACGTAATATGCCATGTAGGTTTGAGGTGATGATAAGTAGTAGTGTTATTTTCTCAGAAGGATGTAAGCTGTCAAATATGCCCAACAGTCAAGAGTGTTGACTATTCATAGGATGACCAGTGGAATATTCTTGAAAGGAAATTCACTGTAAGCTGTTTCGAATGAAAACAGTATTTGACATGCATGAAATTGAAGATGCCATCGGTTAACTAACTACCGAAAATTAATTTTCGTAAACTTGGTTTTGTAAGTTTAATGGGCAGGATAGTCGAAGGTCTACCACTGTCTCTTTCTGCTCACATAGTTTTGATCTGAATCGTTTAATGGAGACTGCCTGACGAAATCGGAGCAATGCAGGTTTCCGCTAGCAGGCTTCTGTAAATATTCTCTTAATGGAAAGTTAATCACCCGAGGAATTCGTCACTGATACTCCCATCAATTGTTTCTTGTCACCGCACTAGGAGACACTAGGAAGAGACTGTGAAATGATAAGAGTAACGTTAGTCTTAGTGTAAACAGAATTTCTATAGGGCACAGAAAATTCAGTGGAAAGCATCGCATAACATTTTCCACTTATCCAGGATCTTTATATACAGAAGCAAATGACAGTAGATGGGCGACACATAGGTGTCTGGCTTAAAGCGCAAACCAATTCCTTATGAAATATCTTCCTCGTTTCATTCACGAAATGGCATCATCTCATCCTATAACACTTGCCGCTCCTCCTACGCTCTTCCTCACGGTAGGAATCGAATGAGATTCCAAATTATGGAATTAATACTGTGATTCGTATGCAGTCGGATATTTCTGAATGAAGCGAAGATTTCATGAGTTTTGATAAAAAACTTATGCAAATAATTCATGCAATAAAATGTCAATTCATATAATTACATTTTGCTCGAAGAACACATCCGAAATGCTCAAGATGACTCCCACAATCACTAAAAACAATGTGATCGAGTTGAACACTATCAGCCCCATTTCACTCATTCGACGCATGCGCATAGCCAACACAACTATTGGAATTTCCACCACAAGTATACAGGCCAGAGATATGAGTCCAGCTTTCAGTCCAACAGGTGACAAAAGGGCAGCCAATCCCACAGACAACAATGCGATCTATGACAAAGGGGAAAGCGAAATGAGAACATGTGATCACACTAGATAGATTCATATACATATAGAAACACACACATTCACAATGACTACAGAAATACAGTAAATTTCCAACGCTGTATGGATAAGCAGATAAGCCACATTCTCATCACTGACGATCAAACAAAAATCAACAATCCGTTAGAAGTTACTGTCATTCAGTGAATTGTGGATCATCCTATACATGTTGACAAGAGTTACCTCTGCAAACTGCAGTTAGCTGCACTGGCCGACTAATTACTGCCTGACAACTAGAATGGCTAAGGTTTCAACAGTGGAAAATATTAAGACCTCATCATCCATCGTTGAGGATGATGACGATGTATTCTAATGAAGTTCTTTGTTGTCAAATAGAATCATAATCTGAATTTCGGAGCTTGCATTGCCTGTCCCTCTCTTGGATGGGACACGTCAACGAGAGAGTCACTAGAGATGAGTGTAGACCCATTCAAATACCACGCGAAATGACATCCATTCAGTCAAAAACAAGTTAGCGTAAATCCTCACAATTTTTTGCTCGGTTTAAAAAATTACACTTACTACAATTGAAAGCATGATATAGACACCAATTGGTCGTGATCGAACTTTTGGCACCAACGCGAATATCAAGAGCACAAACGAACTGACTCCTCTGAAATGAATTCACAAACATCAACAATTCGTCACAGATATTGCACAGTTAATCGGAATTGTGCGTTATTTTGGTTAGTGCATCACAGTTCATAATAATCAAGTTGCATTTTCAATAGAAATGGTTTTCAGTGTTATGATCTCGGTATATCGACTCCATTCTTCGGTTGCGATGTCAACATTCCATTTGTCACAGGCTTCATTCGCCCGGTGCGTCATGAAATCACTCGTTCGTTTTCAATGTAGGCGAAAATCTCTGGTTTCATGATGTAGTAAACCTCACCGTTTTCTAAGCAACGGAAAACATAAATGCTACGGTACCTGGCTTAATCTCTTTCCTGAGTCGACAAATGAGTGAAAACAACTCGTCGATTGTGGTTTACAAATGATATGGGAAAATGAAGCAAGTCAGAGGAGACTTCTGTATTTGAAAATTTCCATTTCTCATGAGCCCTTGAAATATGAATAATTTAACTGAAGATTAGACAAAGTGACTTTAGGTGGGGATGTTGTAGAATCGAAAATATTTTATGATCAGTAGAATGGAAGTTGTTCATATGAGGAAGCAGTAACACAAATGACAAAATTGCAACTGAATTGTTTTGTCTTTTATACAAACTATGATCAATATTTGACTTAATTTTAGACGCCGGAAAACACAAGAGAACTCATATAAATTATTTCAACCTCATCAGGAAGCAAAAGTATTCACGGAAAATCGTAGCACTGAACTCTGTGAAAAAGACGACCAGACAGAGGGAAGGGCCAGTTTGCAAGGAGTAAAAGCTGAAACAATCAAAATGTCCGAGTTGTTAAACGGGAAATCAAAGTGTCACTGTAGAGATAACCTGCACCAAAATGTTTCCATCGGTGTAGATCTGATGAATTGCAAAATATTTACGAACCAGATCATCCGTTATGTGCATCTTTATTACCTACTGACTCTCTAACACACAATGCTTTAACATACACTCCTTGAATACCAAATTTATATGAAATGCAAGCCGTGTATTGAGTATAGAAATTTGCAGGAATCTGAGAGCAGAACTGTATCAATCTATATTGGATGAGATGAAATATTTCCAAGTCTTCTTCATTCACCATTTTCAGACAGTGGACTATGCGGTCGATGTCGTTCAGGCACAGGAGAAATTATGAATTCATTAGAAGTGTGTTCAGATCAAACAGTGTTCAAATATAGAGGAGATATCTACACGTGAAACAGATGGTATTATTATGCAACAACCAGTATCGCCATCACTGACCAATCTGTGCATCCATTCATTGGAAACAGCTGCAACTTCGTGAGGCTATGATCACCCGAGATACGTAAATAACACCTTCGGACAACATTAAATGTAGAGTCGTAGATGAAAATCTTCACGTGAGAAACAACATCGCAAACAGTGTTAAGCTTCGGAAATATGTTGAGCCATATTCACACAAAATTTGATGTTTCTTAACTGGTTTGTCGGACGACAACCAGATGATAGACGAAAACTTAATATCATCAGAAAGGGCAGACATTCGCACAGATGGCCTTATCATCATTGTCATTATTATTCGGCGAATCTCTTTATCACCAAAGTGACTGAAGTTAAGACCCGAATTTACTCGGCTGAACAACTATTACCTCGAGTCGAAGTAAGCCACAGAAGGTTGAAATTAGTTGTAGCCTGACTTAGGTTGATCTACTGTCCAGTTGTTAGTAGACCGACGGATGTGGAAAGTGTAAACTAACAACTCAGGCCTCCTCCATGTTTGTTTATAAATAAACTTGGTCCTGTGTGACTAGTTCTACTGACCGTCAAATAAAATACGAAACTTCCCAGTGCATGTCTGAACATAATCAGACGTGGTTATCAAGATGAGACAACGATTCACTAAGATCAAAGCAAATGATCAAATATATAGACACTGAGAAGACATTTATTGAGTACACTACACCTGGAAACCATTTCGCAGAACATTAGTAACACAGAAGTCTTCAGTAGTCATGGACATCACAATAATCAATATCATGTGTCAAGAATTCAACTAAAGTTTCGTCATGAATATTATTCATATGGTGACATGATGCAAACCATTTGTCAAGATTTTATTCGATAATTTCGCTGAAACTTCTGATCAGCTGATATCTCAAAGTAAGAGGAAGTCATTTTTGTAGAAATAATAATTGACAAATAATTCCAACATCTCTCTCGACAGATTGGAAATAGTGGAAGATACAACATCTAAACTATAAATAAAAGGGTGCATCTGGACCCTAATATCGCTGACAAAATCAGTACAAGCAGTTCCATGAAGAGTCTCTATTCGAAGAAATTCACTTTCTTAAGCTGCACAATAGAATTCAGCAAGGTTCTGAACAGTGACAAATGGAAGAATCACAACACACATCCACAGTTGCTATTATTATTCACTGCAAATGAGAAGTCGAATATGGGAGATATAATTACGCAATAATAACAAGTCTATATTTCAGACAATATGCGAAAACAGAGTGCAGAAATTTTCGGCCTTCCGAAATATTTTATCTTCCTACAGGATTTACATGTTAAGTATGTCGTGTGATATAGCGTTGTTCCATATGAAGAGAGAACCAACTGTGTACAGTTGTATTCTTTCATTTTCTCGAAAAACTGAGCATCCTTCCGTTGAAAACTAACTCAATATGTGGGCGAGTACATGTAGTGATCATCGGATACCATTGCCTGGTCATAACAATCAGAAATACTGTAGAAATTAGGCATTCCAGTGGATAAAAACTTTGGTAGACCCTCGTTATGAAAAGGTGAAATGTATAATTTAACAGGTGGTTTTAATCAGGATGCATACAGAAAAACAAAGAGAATTTAATGTTACCTAGGTGTTCTGGAGGAGAAGTGAGTCAAAAACAGTCAAACGAATGAAGTAATCCAGCATAATTAACTGAAAACAATAGTATTCGCATTGAACGATGCATATATTTGGCTCCAGAAGAACAGGTGAACTGACGTGTGCACATGGAAGTAGTCAGATGTGAGATCTTGTCCATTAGGCTCTTCCACACCAGTAGCCAACTGATGAACACCACTCTTAGCGTTTCTGTGAAGATAGTTATCCTCTTTGAAACGGAAATTCCTCACCTAAGAACATCAATAACTAGGTTGCCGTAAACGTCAAAGTTCATCTAAGCTTTCGTATTTTGCATGGATTACTTGTTTAGTCTTCAAATTTTTGGCGTGACCTTCTCGACAGTAAACCTCGGTGTATGTCCGTTTTGGAAGATTTCTTTCCGAAATCTCTAATTCTTCTTGGAGAGCGTTTGAGCTGCAGATGCATGGGACGCGAGTGGCTAGAGAAATATTTAGGTTCGATTCACATTCATTTCCTATTCAGCTGTAGAAACTTATCAGTTGGCTGTTCAATGTGGTTCTCTTATTGACCGATCTTCCTGAAGACCCGTAGGTTCTTCGTGTAAATTCAACCTCATGAAAAGGCATTGAAGATTCATCTTCTACTGAAACAGTCAGCCTTGTCGGTGGATTACAGCTGTTGAACATGTGTAACACTACTAATTGTGATCATGACTATCATCAGGGTTAATAAAAATGTCATCCACATATCTCGGACACAATTGAAACCTATCAATATTTCACTTACGTGGACCATTCCTGTGACTTGTCATGAAACAGGCTGCTAGGAAGGAACTCAAGTGAGATCTCATTGAAATCCAATAATTTTGTCTATAGAAGATGTCGTTGGCCGTGAATGGAACATAGTATTTCCTTTGTTTCCATGTCAATTCTTATCAAAATACTTATAGTAATTTTTCTTATCTCACTAGTTATTTCTGTCTACCTTATATGTCGAATCTTATATGCACTCATTAATATTATCACCAATCATGTGACGATCCTTCTCTATTTTAACTTTCAGTTTATTCGTTCCATGTAGGTTTCGTACCGATGGATCCGTCCTAATGCGAATACTCAAGTGAAGAGAACGAAACAATTCAAAAGAGACTCTTCTCTGAACTGCTTGTATTTATGTTGTAAACGATTTTAAGGCCCAAATTCACCCTGTTATTTATACCATAGACGGTTTACCTTCCATCATTTGCAATCTGTTGAGCGAGAGGTTTGAATTGTGTATCAATATTTATTTTTACAAATATGACTTTAAATTATGTTGAAATATCAGCTGATCAGAGGTTTTAGCGAAAATATCGAATAAAATCTTGACAAATGGTTTGCATCATGTCACCATGTGAATAATATTCATGACGAAAATTCAGCAGCATTCTTGATATAAGGTATTGATTATTGTGATGTCCACCATTGCTGGAGACTTCTATGTCACACTTTTTCAGTCATCGGTTCTCTACAAATACTCTACTCTTTGGATTTCATTCCACTGATTATTGTATGAACCAACTGTTTCAATATTTATCCTTGAAGCTTAATTACACACTTTAGTGGAATTCAACCTACGTAGCGAAATGTGTAATCGATGACCTGAATACAGGTGAAAACCAGCTTCTCGCATACCTTTAGGCCTTAATATAAAATAAGACTCCCTTATTCCTGACAATTCAGTTAAAACTAATTTAGTTATCGAGAGTACTGTGAAGTGGATTACTGCTCTGTCTCACAAATGAATTCCACTTGTCAAGGTGTGATGAATTCAATCGAACATTCGATAAATAATGTTGAGCAGAGAACTTACATAATAATAAAGTTCACCCAAGAATTCCTTTCGAAGAATCGCTGAATCGCGTCCCTACAACCAAGATAATATTTCATTGGAAAATTTTATCTGTTCTTACACGAAAGTGAATAAGAGGACAACACCAGCTGTCACCATAATCATAATAAGTGTATCTATTGCGATCTAAGAATAAAATTACTCACTCATCAATCCATTTGCATCTTACCCAAATGTTGTCAGGGAAAGGGATTCGCTGTAGCCTCTCGTTTTTATTCTTGGAATTCTCATACGATGCATAAAACCGTGGCATTTTCCAATAAGCTGAAATTGACGAAGAAAATGATAAAATACAACGACGCAGAAGTAACTTAATCACCTCAGAATATACAAGATGAAAATGGACACATAGATTAGACTTTCCGAATATGCCAACTGAGAATAAGGTGTGGAAATGACTGTCAGATTATTTGAACATAATTCAGGTTCCGTAACACTTTAGAAATACACCTGTTTGGGAATGTTGATGAGATGGAGTCAGTGATCGTATGGAAGAGTGTGCTCTAAGAAATTGACTGGGATGGAGAAAATCTCATTTATCTTTCTCAAACACGATATCAACTTCGAGGAAACAGCCTACTGGAGTTTCTCTTCTGCATCATCAGAGAAAAACTGGTTTCATTTGACAATATATACAGAGTCAATATATACATACAAGTATCAGACGATTACACCTTGATACAAGACTGGGGAAAAAATGCGAACATCAGTTTGCTCTATCACACATCACAGAATTCTGAGTTTATTAGATATCTAGTCATCACACACGAAACACACCACATTGATTAGATCCATAAAATCCAATTAAATTTGATTGAGCGTTCTTCCTACATTCACAATCAAGTGAAATACCTCGAACATGATCAAAGTCAGACTAAAATCATCACCTTACTATTCATATTTAAGCTTACTTAGTAATAAGTCAAACAAACAGACAGCAAATGAGAAATAAGATGCAACTGAAATTCACTTACTTCTTGTACCTCCGAGTTTCGAATTTACGTCCGTTCGAGAATATTCTCACGTATTTTCTCATTTATATATATACTTGTATATATTCCGACTTCTTTGATGATTATTGACGCGTTTTTACATATTGAAGGATCACAGTCCATTCTCACTCTAAATGCGATTCCACTTCACACAAAATGACTTTTTTCACATAATCGTCTTATTATGCATGTTGTTCTCATGTGGTCGTTTGTATGCAAGTATATATGTAACACAATGTAACAGTAAGCACATTTAGTTATCTGTGAGTTCAGTGAGGTGGCATATACTAATTACTTCATGTGAGAAGGCTATTGATCGAATAACGACGCATATGTCGAATGGAAGAAGCAATTTGTGTCAAAATAATGGAGTTGATTTCTGGTTCATTTAGAGGGTTTTCCACGTAATTGTGTTCTTTGAGCTTGGTCATTTCATTGCGAAGCCGTTATCAACCTGACAGAAAGCATTCTCTGAGTTGGAATCAGAAGGTGTCTTATTTTGTCTGGCTTTATTGATAAAAATGAATAATGTGGTATGAACAACCATAGTTATTCTCGAATTTCTCAAACACTGAATTGGCCCATATCGACTTACAGTAATTATTTCATTTTGAACACGTAGTATGGGTTAACAGTGTATCTGGTTTATTGAATGATTCCAACAAAACTAGGAAAACAACTTTGAATCGAATTCCTCTGTCTCATGGACTTGTCACAATCTGAGTACATCGTGATGAAATTGGAAAGGAAAAGCTTGAGGCTAAGCAGAGATATCGTTTGGGTGATTTCATTTTCAGAAGTGGGCCAATTGCACTTTTATGGGTGAATCGGAATAGCCACTAATAACATTATTTATTTAGAAAGAGTGACTGACATAGATGGAGTGAGAGAGTCAGGAGGTTAATACTTCTTGACTTGAAATTTAATTTACCTCTTAACAAGGATTTCTAAACAAATCTTGTTCCAACTTGTCTTTGATGAAATGTTGGTCACATATTTCTCGGCTACTTTCATAGTCTTTCTTTTTTCCTGTCGGACGCAATTTTTCAGCTGGAAATGCAAAATAAACTTAGATAAACTGGGAACTCAAGCACAGAATCACCATTGTCTAGCTGTTAAGAACTTAACAGGCAAAGAAGAGCTGGGATAAACGCATGTAAATAGACTTAATTGTGGCTGTATGAGAAGTAAACTTGCAATCCTGAAACGAATTGTTGTTTTTTGTGAATTCATTTCAGAGAAGTCGTTTTGCTTGAGCTCCTTCTCTTCGCAGCCGTGTCGAAAATTTCATCACGACCATTTGGTGTCTATGTCATGCTTTCAATTGTAGTAAGTGTCATATTTTAGGCCATACAAGAAATTGTGAGGATTTAGTCTAAAATGTTTTTTACTGAATTGATATCATACGTGGTGGAATTTGAAAGTGTCTAGACCCACTACTACCTCGTCAAAGTGATCATCTCTGTGATTCACATCACACATCATTTTCATTATTTCAATTATTGGCGATGTAACAATGAATGCGTGGTTTTACTACTTGCGCATGAGAAAAGACCTTAAAGCTGAGAAAAGTTGTCGCTTAGAAACTCGTAAATGTGGAAACTTAAATCCACCTGTTGCAAAGAAAAGAATGTGTAAACTGGAGAGACAGCTTGAAGGAATGAATTAACTGGAGGTTTCTAGAAGTTGATTTTACATGACATATGACAAGCGTCTTGACGATCTCCTTCATTCGGACAATTCAATAAAGAAACATCTAAAATAAACTTCCTGTACACCGGTAAGAAGTTCGAAGAAATGAATAAACTGAGGTTCTCGAGAAGTTGATAATACATGAACCAGGATAAGACAATCGACAGTCTACTTCATTCAAACTGTTGAATGAATAGACATCTAAGACAGACTCGTGAGAAATAAGATGAAGCGTTTTCTGAACTGAAGTGATATTTACATGGTGACGGACGCATTTTAAACAACTATAGTGGCTCTCCTGTTTATGTACTCAATCCAAGAGGAGGACAGGTAATGCCAGCTCCGAAATTCAGATTATGATTCTATTTGACAAGAAAGAACTTCATTGGAATTCTTCGTCATCATCCTCAACGATGAATGATCAGGTCATAATATTTTCAACTGTTGCAAGCTGAGTCATTCTAGTTGTCAGGTGGTAATTGATCGACCCATTCAGCTATCTGCAGACAAATCATAAGATGAATAGTCACGCATTGGACATGTCATTCTGAAACTGGAATCATCTTTAAGGTGTGAACCGAATTATGCTAATTTATGATCCAAAATTCGACAGTGATTGTGATTGTAAAATTCTTCTTCCAGGCTATCTTTTCTGGGAGAAAGATGAATAGGACGATGTCACTCTGTAGTCAGTTTTATTCTACAGTTTTATTATCATTTTTCTTGTTCCTATTGATGACGATATGTTAATTATTGTTTCTCTTTCTCATTATATGGAAACAGTCCTATCACATTGGCTAGATAATTATAATTAATTTGAATTGCTGTACATTTGAGATGATCACCTGTATTCACTCATCTCTGTCAATAATCTTTCTCTTTCTCTACATTGTAGTTATTGTTCATTTTGTCGATAATCACAGCTTGATCGCTTGGGCGATGGATTGCATTGCCGAAGAATTTACCACAGCGTTCATCATCTGGTTTTGTACGATCAACTTGTTCGGCCTACTGATTTTTGTGATTTCCAGTTCTTCTTAATAATGAAAAGTTAATCATTGTTTCTCTTTCTCATATGAAGTGTGCCAATACTTGCACAGACATTCACACTGATATTCGTGTTCTGTAATAAGAAAACAAACCGTCTTAGACACTGAGAAAAACAAACAAAATATACCTGTAAACATCACCACCTTCAAATATACATTTATATATATCACTGTTTTTCAAACTGACTCTACACTGAAGCATTTCTGAGAAGGTGAGGAAGAAGAAGAGGAGTTATACGGTGGTCAAAATACGATTTACCCTTTCTGAATACAATAAATATCTTGTCAATGATAAAGTTTTAATGTGAGCGCGGTCATCCAATTTTCAGCCCAGCATACCACAAGCATAAGTGAGTGCCTCAATCGATCTACGTTGTCAGAGATATATGGTCGATTCAGAGACTCACACTCTCATATAATATGTTTGATAAATGCAGCTAGACACCTTTAAGACAGAAAAAAGATTATCAGCACCTGCCCCTAAGGTAAAAACAAATTACAGAGTTTTACACTTTAATTATTATTACGCTTTATGAGAAATCAGTGAATAGACATGAAATTTGATGTCGAAAAAAAAGGATAACTACTGAAAAATTGTCACACTAAAAGAAGAAAAATCGCAGGTTTTAGCAGTTTAGTGAATTTTTTGTGATTAAACAGTCGGTTTCTTGCCTACTTTGTCTAACATGTAATTAGTGCTTTTAAAAATTGGAAAAGAAATTAGATATATAATTACTTTGTGTTTATTTCTTAGTCTGGCTTTTCTGTTTCGATAGCCAGAGATGAATCATTTGTTTTGATTTTCTATATGTTACAATGGGAATTTTCCGTGATTTAAAAAATAACTGACTTGTTGCGTTCTATAACATGCATGCAGCCTAATTATTAAAATTTAATTGAAGTGGAGATTGGTGAATGTTTCTACGTAGTTTCTCGCATATGTAGATGCACGAAATTTAATTTTTAGGTGCTCCTCATTTATTGCTACACATCAGAAATCATCTCAGTACTGAATCTGACATTTGAAAATAAAACTCCATGAGAATGGCATTCGATGCATGCACTCACTTCCAAACAATTTGAAGACGGTGTAGAATAAAAATTATTAATTCTACACCGTGGGATGCCTACAGATGCTGTAAGAAGATTTCCGCCACTCTCATCGTGATAATAAATTTACACTGAATCCACCTCACAGCTATCATTGAAACAGACTGCTGTACATGGGCACCAGTTATCGTGATGCACCCAGCATTGTTCATTCACTGTATCTCTGATACAGAAGACATTTCACACAACTATTCCGTAGGGAAAAGTTAGGTAACATAAATATACTGCTGGAACCTCGAAGTCACTAGGTCATAAATTCCATTTCGCTAAATATATCTGACTGTAACACTGAGAAATTACTCAAATTTCAGTAAAACACTGTTAAATATGTTGGATTAATGTCGATATGTTCACACTTCGTTTTGTATTGCAAACAGTTACAGTGACAATTAGTCACTGGAATGTGAAGCGAATAAATGTAGGAAAGCAAGGTGATCATTCCATTTGACTCATAAATTTGTTTAAGTGTTTGCCTAAGGAGGGTCTCAGTTTTACCCTTGTACATTTAATAAGCCTCAATATATGTCGATGATTTACTTGCAGCAATTTAAGCTTACAAAAAGATGACTATTGTTCAGTAGGAATAAGTTTGAACAAACACCCCGAATAGCTGTGAACATAAACTAAGTGATGCCATAGAATGTTCGATCATTCTAACACGTATCATTACAATCTAACAAAATACTTTTCATAAAAAATAACCACTCAAGACTGTTTGTTTAACACGAGAATATAACTACGAGTCTATAGACTAAGGTGTAATTTATTCACTGATTAAACTAAAGCTACATAAATCAGAACAAAAAGTGCGTCTTGTTATCTTTCCCCGTCTCTGTCTCTTTGATGTTAGTTTCAAAGTACACGCATATTTCAGTAGAAAAACAACTAATACGACTATTTGTTTTCGAAATGAAACACATTTTTTCAGCCTACTTGACATTTGTACATGAGTAGTTACTTCAAAAAATTATAAAGTAACACAGATTAATAACTAATACGACACGACTTTCCGTTATATTTTTCACAAAACTATTCATTCAAAATGAGCTATTTCAAATGATTTAGCTGAAATCTAAATGAAGCCGAGTATTCACAAGGTGGATTCACTGGATTGAAAGGAAAGACGATTGTATCCTTAAGTCCCGAACTCTGAATAAATAAACTGAAAACGT